TGCACGGCATTGACGCCTCCTTCCAGGCCGGTACCGGTGCCAAAGGGCACCATGGGCACACGGCAGCGGTGACAGAGGGCTGCCAGCTCCTGCACCTGCCCCACTGCCTGGGGCCACACCACGACGTCTGGGGGGGCACAGCTGGGGGACAGGCAGCACCTCTGACCAACTGCCTTAACCGCTTGACCTTCCCCATGGCCCTTCCCAAACCTGGGACTTGTCACATGCCCCTTCCTCTCCCCATGGCCCCTTTGTCTACCCAAACATTTCCCACATCCCTTCCCTATGACCCTTCCCCCTCCCGTGGCCCTTCCCCTCCCCAGCGCCCTCCCCAGGGGCCCCAGCTCCAGGGGCACTCACGGGTGCATGGACTCATCGTGGCCGTGCTGCTCCCGCACCGCTGTGGCCGTGGAGACATTGGGGGCCCCAACCACGGCCCTCAGGGTCTCCACGAAGTCAGGGGACAGCGAGGGCTGCGGGGGGCAACAGGGAGGACCCGTCAGGGATGCACTGGGGGAGGGTCTGATCGCGGCCACGGGCCAAGGGCACGAGGCCAAGTGGCCACGTCAGGACCCGAGTGCCCTTCGGAGCCCCGGCCCCACCTTGGAGCAGCAGCTGCGGCGGCCCAGGGCTGCCCCCAGCGCCAGCACCCTCCGCAGGGCCATGTCGCGACGGGACAAGAACGGCAACATGGGAGCTGCACAGGAGCAGGACATTGCCCTCCCTCGCAGGCTGTCTGGCCCTCCCCCACACTGACACCTTAAGGTGGCTCCAGCCACACGCGAGTGTGTCCCTGGCGGAGGGACCTGGCTCCCACCGCTGCCTGTGCTCATGTTCCCATGCTGTGTCCTGCCTGAGCGGAGTCACTGCGTTCACCATGGCCCCTGTCCTCGGCCGGGTGTCCCTGTGCCTGCTCAGGTATCCCCGCAGCTGGTCGGGGGCCACATGTCCCCGTGCTCCTCCCCTCCCAGACAGGAGTCCCCATATCCCCCTGCCCATCTGTCCCCATTCCCAATCAGGCGTCTCCATGCCTCCCCCCGCCCCCGTCCCTCTGTTCCCATGCGCAGCCAGGTTTCCCCATTCCCAGCCAGGTGTGCCCGAGTCCCCTTGTCCATCTGTCCCCGTTCCCAGCCAGGTGTCCCCATGCCTCTCAGCCTTCCTGGACAGGTGGTCCTCATGCCCAGACAACTGACCCCAGCCCGCCGCACGCCCCCATCCTCGGACGGGTGTCACCCCGGCCACCCGCCTGCCCCGTGCCCCGCTCCCGTCCGTCCCGGCATGGTGACAAGGACACAGTGTGCTCAGCGGGTGGCAGCGTTTATTGCAGGCCTCAGTTGGCCTCCAGGATGGAGTCGATCCAGTCGCGGAGCTTGGTGACGCGGGCGTACACGCCGGGCGTCTGGGGGTCGCAGGTGCTGCTGCCCCAGGAGACGATGCCCACCAGGTTCCAGGCGCCGTCCTTCTGGCACACCAGCGGGCCCCCGGAGTCGCCCTGCACGGGGCAGCGGGTGAGCACCGGGGCGGGGCCCGGCGGCGCCGGGGGCAGCGCGGGGGGCCGGGGGCACGTACCATGCAAGAAGAGGCTCCGTCGGCGCCGGCACAGACCATCACGTCGCGGATGCGGAAGCCCCAGAACTCCTTGCACTGGGTGTTGGTGAGCAGGGGCAGAGCCGCCTGCTGCAGCACCGCCGGCGTATGCGAGGCTGCGGGGAGCGGGGGGCGTCAGCGCCGGCACCGGCACCGGCACCGGCACCGG